CCCCCCCCCCCCGTACCACGCGTTCCCGCTGCTGCTGCTTCTCTGTCTGCAGCTCCGGGTCGGCCTCTTGCCCCTCGTACACCGCCAGCGCCTGCTTCAGGGCCACCACCACGAACGCCGTGAGCGAGACGCCCCCCTGGTGCCCCCCGATGCCACCCTGGGGGGAGAGAATGGGGGTGAGCGTGCGAGGCACACGTGCAAGGGACGCCCTGCGGGCACCAGCCGACACTGGTAGCGGTGAGTTCCACAGGTGCACGGCCTGGTGCCTCAGTGGTATCACCTGCCCCCCACTACCCTGGGGCTTGGGGGTCTGGGGGGTGGGAGTCAGGGCACAGATCTAAGTGTGAAAACCGGAGTGTGCCAGGCAGGGAGGGGCATGGGCCACCCCGAGTGCAGGCTGTGAGCGTGAAGGGGACCACATCTAGACACGCCTGGTGAGGGTGCAAATCCGAGCACGCACGGCCGGAAGGGGCGCACCGCTTAGTGCCAGGGGCAGGATACAATGGTGAACGTGCCACTGGGAATGTGCCCGTTGGGGCGCGGGGCGTGTGTACAAATCCTCCTGTGCACGGCGTGAGTGTGCAAATCTGAGCACACGAGCCCTGCGTGGCGGGGGGAGCCGAGGGGCACGTCTGGGCGTGCAAGATCTGAGGGGAGCAAGGCGTGTGAACGCAGGCCGAGCTCAGGTTGTGAGCAGAGCATGAGTCTGGTGCAGCTATGAGCGTGCGGCCTGCTGGGTTAGCGTGCAAATGGGAGTGTAAATATTGTGCAAATTGTGGGCTGTGTGTTGGTGTGATTCCAGCTGGGCTTTGAGCCCAGGTCAAACCCGTGTGTGCAAAAAGAGCACTGGGGGCTTTGCACACCAGGGCCGTGAGTGTGCATGGGCAAAATTGCACCTGCATGTGCCAAGTGTGAGTTTGCAACATGACAGTGAGTGTGCAAGGGAGCCTGTGTGTGACAGGAGGTATCTAGTCCAAGCCCCTGCTCAAAGCAGGCCCAATCCCCAGACAGATTTTTGCCTGAGATCCCTCAGTGGCCCCCACAAGGGCTGAACTCACAACCCTGGGTGTAGCAGGCCAATGCTCAAACCACTGAGCTATCCAGCTTTGAGTCAAAGATCAAACCAGGAATATTAACATTTAGGGAGACACTGGAGGGAAATCGTGTCATTGTCTCTGTGTCTCTTTGCAGGTTGTGGTGACCTGGATCTGAACTGTTTAATGGATAAATTACCCTGTGCTCATTGCCAGGATGTTTGGAAGAAGGAGAATTAAGCCTATTGTTTTCTCAGGCCGAAAGGCTGCTGGAAATGTATAAGAACCCTGGGACACGATCCTGCTTCATCTCAGATCTGCTTTGGGTTTCAAGAGGGGGAAACCCTGAGCCACAAGGATTGAGATCCCCAGTCACTGACTGGAGCCACCCTGAACATGGACATTGGACTATAACCTCTGGACTATTTCTAAAAGGACTTTTGGCAACTACAAGCTCATCTCTGCTATGTATCTGAACCTCAAGAATTGAATTCAAGTCTGTCTGTATATTGATCTTTCAACCAACTCTCTCTCTTTTCTTTTCTAATTAATTTTAGTTTAGTTCATAAGAATTGGCTATAGTGTGTATTTTGGGTAAGATCTGTGTTATAATTGAACCTGGGTATGTGGCTGATCCTTTGGGGTTGGAAGAACCTTTTCTTGTATCTGATGAGAGAAGATTTTCAGAATTTATCATCATCTGTTTGATGTGTGTCTGGCCGGAGGCCGGGAACTCGACGGGCCCGGCGCGGTTTGGCGGCTGAGTGACTGGGGGGCTGACACGGGGGCTGGTTGGTAAATCTCAGCACTGGAAGATCCACCAGCGTTTGGGGTTTGTCTGCCCCGGTCTGTTTGCAGTTCACCCTGATTGAGTGA